TAAGGGCTGATGGAACCAGTGAGAAACAGTACAAGTGAAATCATAACAAAGTTAAACTGAAGCAACAAGGGCAAGTGACCATCACATAACATAATCAAGTCATATAAAAGAAACAATACATTTCCGTTCAGCAAAACGCCCTTACTCACTGCAAAAGACAGACACAAAAGCACTAACATGGAGTATCTGTTATTCAAGTCGACGAAGAAAAATGGATGAACAGCCTTGAAGAGCGCTTAGATGGTTTGCTTCTGATACACATGCGAATTTGAATTAAGGAAGGAATTAGGGCTACAACGGTGTTATTTGGGAAAGTATAGAGTCATTAACTGATGTGAAAAATTTTAATCCATGTCAGCAATGGAACCCTCAATGTACGATGTCCACGTCAGCGCCACATGAGCGAGCAGCGGGCTAACTGGGAAGCATCCGGTTATGTAGACCTAATTGATGGGATTTTCATTGTTAGTGGGTTCAATTGAGGGTTTCTAAAGTACGGGGACTCCATTGACAGATCGCACATAGTAGGAGGGCGCGATTGACAGTTTATTTGGGAGATTTCCCAAAATAGGAGTAAATGGAGTTTAAAATTACAAAATAGGACTATTATGTTTTTATTCCCGAAATAGGACTAACATGACAGTGTTTACTGTCATCTTATAGACGTGACTGTCAAATAGTTGCAGTATAGTTGCCAAACTTCATTTACTCATATTTAGGATAATTTCCCTTTTTATTTCTACTTTCGCTGGTTTTTGTTAGGCTTTTTCATTGGCTAAGAGTTTTGTCCGCTATATAGAGCGTGTGATACATTATTCTTCTAGTAAATTTTCTCATCGTTGTGTAGTCTGTGTATATCTCATCGTTGTTGAGTCTGTATAATTCTCATCGGTGTAAATGATCTGGTAAATTTTCAATGTTTATGGTTGACAACGCTTTTTAAACCTTATTGTTCTAAGACTTCAATTACTCGTCCTCCACCTGAACCACCCCCTCGCTGTGGGAAGAAGAAAATGCTCAATTGGATCTCCTTTTCGGTGGCTGTCCAAACTGATGATTCAGAAAATTTCTGCTCCGCTGAATTTCCTTTGTTGGTTGCTGGTCAAATCAATTCTCTCTTTCCGGTGATTGGTGAAGCCGAGATTCTTGATTTAATTTGTTTCCTTTCTTGTTTGGTCCTTGGAGACCATCTGATTGTCTCATCCTAGTGTAGCATCGAACTATTGTATTGCTTTATCTCTTGTTACTTTTATCATTTATTATTGTATTGCTTTATCTCTTATTACTTTTATCATTAATAAATAAGTTTTCTTTTTGAAAAAAAGAACCACACCTTTTGAGCCACACCATACTTCTATGGACCAAATGAGTAGTTAAGGAATCATATATGTCTTTCCATCCCCCATCAATGAAAAACATTGTATTCTTTTTCCATTACTTTTTGGTACCTAAAAATAATTTAATTGATGTTTTTCTACCAATTACTTGCTCTTTATAATGTTATGGGATGGAGTGAAGTTAGTTGTGTTGTAGAGAAATGGTCCTCGATAAGACCGAAACTTACTCTATTTACTTAAATAGGAGTCTAACTTTTTTTAACCTTAAATAAGACTACTTTTAACCGGCCTACCATTTTTACCCCTGCTGCCTTTGAACGGCTCAAAGGATCAGATATGAAACCTCAACTTCTTCATAACAGCACACAGAAGCTCAGACACTACACGTACTCCGATTGGGGCAACGAGGTGAAGGATTGTGACGGTGAAGGCGGTTAAGAGTCGGCGGCGGAGTCAGCGGTAGCGGACTGATCCCTGCTACATGTGGTTTCTTCTACTCTTCTTCTTTCGATCTTCCTTCAGTCCTTCTCCCGCTCTGCTTATCCACATCTCCTTTCTTCTCTAGCTATCTTCTTTTTTCCTCCCTTTTCTTTTGATTCTTCATTACATATTTACATTACGGCGAGGTAATGGTTCTTCTTTTAATAAATCTTCTTCTTTCATTTTAATTGTTCTTCATTCATTATTTTGAATTTCTGATTTAGTTGTGGCAAAGCGTCACAATGGAAAGTTGGTGTCTTAGAAAATTTGTAATTTGCTGAGAACAAAAAATGTTTCAAAACCTTGGATGTCTTTGATTTAGAAAAACTATATCCCTCCAAAGTATTCTTTCACTGTGTGGCTGTGTATCCAGAATCGGCTATCAACAACAAATAACTTATGTTTTTTGAATATTGATAGGGTGTGTGGTTTCTGCAATTCTGATTTGTAAAGCATTGAGCATCTTTTTTTCGGTTTTCCCGTTACTAATGGGATATGCAGGGCAGGTTAGTATGTGCTTTGGTGGGAATAAGGAGACTGAATTCAATTCTTGAAAGTGTAATTAAATGTTGTAAAAAAAGAGTTCAAAGGGCCAGAATGAGCAACAAAGCAGTAAGGTTGGTTTTTTGATGCACCATTCATAGTATTGGAAGGCAAGAAATTTGAAAGTTTTTTAAGGAAGGGTGTCTGATGTTAAGAGTATACTGGCTGAAATTCAGTTTCTAACATACAAAGTCCTGTATAGAATTTATCCACCAGATATGATTGACTTTTAATATTTTACTTACCCTTTTATAGGAGTGTTCTGCCAGCTAGTTTTTGTTTTTGATGTTATTGCAAAGTTGTTGCTATTGAGTGGTATGGCCTCTAGGATTTAGGTGATATGTTGTGAGGTGGTTTGTAACATGTAGTCTTCTCTCAAATTGATGGTGAAGGGATATGCCCTTTTTCTTTGCAATTGTTGTCTTTTTCAATATAATTTTATAGGTTATCCATAAAAAAAATTCCGATTTCTTCTTTTAGTGTATATTTGTTGTTTTTTCAAAATTTTCACATTTTTAGTTTTTTGTTTTGTTTCTGTTACTGCTTAATTGATTTTGAATCTAATAAAAATGTTATTATAATATATCAATGTCATCAATAAAAACAATATCACAATGTCAATATTGCAATGTCATATGAGTGTCACAATGCTACTAATATTTCACAATGTCACTATATCACAATGTCATTGATGAAAACAATATTAAATTTTTTAGAATGTCATTTTCATAATCATTGACATTCTTATGTCATTGCCATTTTTATGACATTGTTATTGACAATCTTATGACATTGTCATCGTAATTAGTTAACATTACAACATATTTACGACGTTGTGACTTTTTTTGTAAAATTAACATTGTCATTATAGCTATTGACATTGTCATAATTACAAATTACAATGTCATTTTATTGACAATGACATTGCCATTGAGACATTTTCTTTATCTGGTGACATTTTTATACATTGACATTGTCAAGATATCATTGGCATTTTTATGACATTGTTATCGTGATTAATTGATATTACAACATTTTTTGACATTGTGACTTTTTTTATATAAAATTAACATTGTCATAATAGCTATTGACATTGTCATAATTACAATGACATTTTATAGTATCGACAATGACATTGCCATTGTGATATTTTCTTAACCCGATGACATTTTTATACATTTTTCATGACATTGTCATTGACATTGCCATTGTGTCAAGATATGTCAGGTCAACCCGAATTCATTTTGGTTCCACATTTTAAAATTTGAATCACAAATCCAATGTCACAATGTCATCAATAAATATAATGTCACTTCTTAGCAATGTCAAATATTATTACACATTGTCAATAACAATAAAAAATTATAATGTCAATAACAACTTTTGACATTGTCATTTTCAAAAACTCTGATAATGTCATTTTTTATACACAATTCTAACAACAATGTCAATAAAAATGTCAATGTCAATTACAATGTTAGAATCTGTCAAAATGTCAAAAAACTATTACAATGTCAAATATGTAGTAATATAAATGTCAATACTACAAAAATGACATTGTAAGAATGACGATGACAATGCCAATATTGCCAGAATGACATTATTGTATTAATTATAATGCCAACATCCTTATTCGAATTAAAAATAGTGGCAAACTTTATGGATTGATCACCTTCGCAGTACAAAGCCAACATTACAAGGAGTCAAGGATAATAGCTAAAATGATTATTGAGCTAATAATAAAAAGGACTCTGCCTAGCCCAAAAACATAGTCTGCAATTAACATTAAAATTAAACAAAAAATAGGAGTGTTACAATTTTGAAAACAAATTAGGAAATACGAAGTAGAAAGCAACATTCGTAAAAAAAGTAGAAAGAATATTGAGAAGCAAAATAACGGATCTGCAATCGAGGCCAAACAAAAACATGAAGAAGGCGAATCGAGGCCAAACAAAAATATGAAGAAGACGCAAGAAACAAAACAAAAATAACATCCACGGATCTTCAAAAGAACGGAGACAGATTAAAAGAGGAGAGAGGAAGAGAGGAAGATAGGAGGAGGAGGCTACTCGCCCTTCCGTTAGCGGCCGCGCTGATGATGAATCACACCTGCGATAACGCTGGAAGGCGGCGACCGGCTAGAACAATCTCTCCGTTGATAAATTTGGTGGTCATGGACTCATGGCCGGCTTGGGAAGATCGAATAGATGGGGACGTCTGCCCGTTCCAAATACGGAACTTTTGAAAGTGGGATAAGCAAGGGTGTTTTGGTCACTCCATTTAAAGTCAGTCCTATTTAGGGGTTTAAAAGTTCTAACTCCTATTTACATTTCGAGCCTATCTTTTAGTCTTATTAAGGTCTATTTCCCTTGGGGTGCCTAACACCCCAATCAAGAGCTTTGTGGCTACAAAAGCCAACTTTGTTTTCAAAACCCTCACATGCTTATCGAATTGGTGTTCTAATTTGGAAGTGACTAATCCTATGTTCAATCATAGAGCGAGATGACCTTTGGGTTTTGAGTCTAGAGACAGTTTGGGTTTTAAGTTTGAGTCTCATGTACACTTTTGATTTCAGTTTATTTTAATATTTGAAATAAATATTAAAATTGACCCTTCTCCTATAAAATTAAGGCACTGCTATCCAAATAAATAAATGATTAAAAATATTTGAAATGTCTCAAATGGCTTCAAATAAAACACCACTTCACTGGCTGTGTTCCAACTTCCAACCTTAGTACGCTCCTTTCTTCTCCAATCAACAATGGACGTCCAGTGCTTTATTCATCGACCAGGCAATTACGATGATGACTCTCTTCTTCAAAGCAAACACTTGGACAACGGCTTCAACATTGACATTGCTCCCCTTTTTGATGGATACACTTGGATGGTGTGGTTGTCTTCTCAACCGACAATAATGGATGCTCCATTAGCAACAAAGAATTTAGATCAGGGGGAGAACAATAGTTTTTTGTAAACCATACAAGATCGACGATGACAACATACTCCCTCCACTTTGACGCTTCTATTTGTCAGTAAGGATGCGACGAGTAAGCCTTCCGCGTGCAGCAGCGACTAGAGTTATAGAGTGGGGTGCATAGCTAGAGTTATAGGGTGGTAGTGGGGGGGGGGGGGGTGGCTAGGGTTACAGAGTATGTGGGCGACAAGTAGGGTTACACGGTGGGGGTATCAATGTCTAGGGCTATAGGGGTTGCGGCAGCTAGGGTATAGTTGAAGGTGTTGACAATGCGGCACTACAGCTTCATCGTAACCTTTTTTGCTTACTTGCTTATCAATCAACTTTTTTACTAATCTTTCGATTTCACACTCTAATATGTGTAATAGTAAAAATAGACTGAAGAAGTTAGTTTTTAGCTGACATGGTTGGAAAAACGGTTACAAATGGCGAGCTTTCTTCATGTTCTAATAATGAATCACTACTGGAAATCGATCTGTGGTCGTGCTTCTGAATGTTGCTTTTGTTTGCTTCCATTTCTCAAAAATGCTCAACAGTATCAAAATGTGTAAGCTCTTGAATGATCTAATGCCACAGAATATAAACTATTCGGTGAATAAGCAAAAGAGTGAATTAGTGAAAGACCAAAAAGTAATAATATTAGGATTTCATCATTATTTGACTAACCTTGGAATGTAGGAAAACTACTGCTTAAAACCTGTCATTTTACCACAGCAGTTTCCAACCAAAGGCGTTTTAACAGCTACAAATTGACTTAAAAAACCCAAAAATTTAAATCCGCAGTTTGCCACAAGAGTAGAAGTATATTCAAAATTTGTAATTTTTCAGTTCTTTTACCAAACTTGGAATCTTGGATTAGCTAGACCAGTGGTAAAATCTCAATGATCCCTCCGAACACCATTTACATTGCTTCTAAGCCGAGGGACAACAACAGGAGCACCGCGAACCTTTTCAAGCGCAAAGCTAATCCTCAATGGACGACCAAGAAAAGCCTGAGGATTAAAGGGTGAAGAAATATGGTTTATAAGTTAGAACAGCCACTTCCAGTCCAGAAAATTGGCTAATTACCACCAATGAAATGGATAAATTCAGTCATAAGCAGAATGTAATGTATACCCTCCCATCCATGGCATCTTTAGCATTTTTGGCCTCCTCTTCTTTAGAGAAATACACAAACCCAAAACCTCTTGATCTGCCAGTATCTTTATCATACATTATCCTCACTAGTAGTTAATTCATACACTCGTTAGTATATAATTCTACAGACAAATTTTTGTATCTAATACTGAGCGCATTTATATACTGCTAGTTAAAATGCTGTAGAAAGATGAAAACATGCAGTTCCATTAATGGTGAAAGAGTAAGTGAGACATTTCGTCGAACAGATAAAATTCATACATGTGTTTCCCATATACCTTCCGTCACCTGGCCGAAATCAGAAAAGGCGTCTGTTAATGTCTTCTCGTCCACGGACCAAGATAAACCTTCATCAATGAATGCTCGTTCATCATCAGACAACAAATTCCAGAAGGAAGTTACAGATATTATACGTGAGAAAGGAGCTTACCGGCAACAAAGAGTTTGTCGTTTGTAGGAGAGGAAGAGGCGGCGGCGGTTGCTGCGGGAGTGCAATAAAGGCGGAGGCCATGGTGGTATGGCGCCAGAGGGGAAGGGCGTACTGCCACTAAGAGTCTTCTGGCAAATCCTATCAAATTGTTCTTCATAGGTCATAACAATGTAGCTTGTTTACTGAAGATAATAAGGAGTATTAATTTGGGGTTAAGACTAAAATATTACAAAAAATATTACATTTAGACAAAAAAATATAAGGGAGATTTCAACGGATAAGACTTAATCATTCTAATTTTCCAAAATTAAGACTATAGATTAGGATAAGACCTAAGTACAGGAGCTTTAACCAAACTGCCTTCATTTTGTCCTTCCTTTTAAAACCCATGCGCATCAAACAACACTTTCTCGATCTTTGCTCTCGCATCTCTTCATTAAATCTCTTCCGCACCTCCAACCGAGAACACCGAGAAACAAAAAACAGATATCCTACTCCAGCTGTGACAGCATGACTTCGGAGGCAGCAACGAGACTTCGACGGCAGAGCCGTGTCACTGGCAGCGGCGTGACTCCGGCAACGTCGTCCAAATCCAAATGTACCGATCTTCTTCGGTAAATATCTCCTTTCTTTTCTTCATCTTCTTCCCCCCACCTTCTCATCCTTCTCCTTTTCTTCTTTTTCACTTGAATTTCTGTATTTTTTTTTATTAATTTTCAGATTCAAATGGAATTTTTGAAAGTTAGGTTTGAGTTTTGGGGTAGAAAAATCAGAGGCTCCGACAGCAATAGCACCGTTCTGCGGCGGCAATGGCGGAGAGGTACAACGGCGACGATGAGGTGCGGACGCAACAGGGGTGAGGTACGACGGAGGCGGCATGGTCGAGGTACGACGGAGGCAACAGGGGCGCCAACGAGATGTATCGGAATCAGTGAGGTACGGTGGTGGCGATGATGTGTTGCGACGGTGGACGCCCATGTATTCTGCAATTTTTTTGAAGAAATCAGATCCAAAATCAAACTTGCAAACACTAGACAATACATACACATTAAGTAGTCAGTAAACAGACAATAATTTCGAATAATAACTCAATAGCAGGCAATACATAGACAGTAAGGGTAAAATTGGAAATTTAAAATCAAGTTTCAAAATTAGAACTACATAGCTCTTACGGAAGGAAGAAACATACGCATGTACTATTTTTCTAAAATTGCTTTGATTAAGTCCTGCACGGAGCAATTTTCTCAAAATATAAAGTACTACTTCCGTTTTCTCGTTTTCTTTTAGTTGCAACATTAAATTTTTTGCACTATTCACATATTCTATTTTAACTATATTTTATTAATTATTGTATTATGAATTAAATCTTTAAAAAATATTGTTAAATTCTTCTCATTCTAAATTTTCAAAATATGATTTTTTTAATTTTTTTATTAATAGTTAATGAAAGATATTAATGGTCAAACTTGTGCGTTGGCAAACGTGAAATCTTGACTGTTGCAATTAAAAGGGAACTGAGAAAGTATATTTTAGTCTTAAAAGAAAGACTAGAATATTACAAAAAATATTACATTTTTACAAAAAATATACGGAGTATATTTTAGTCTTAAAACAAAGGCCAGAACATTACAAAAAATTACATTTAGATAAGAAAGTAACTTTTTATTTTGATATAAAAAAAATGAGACTAAAAATAGGCATGACGACCATTATACTCTTCTTAGGCCCAGCTGATCCATATAGTGACCAACAGTACAATGATCAATTACATTTAACTGTATCGAGTAGTTACAGTTACCTAACTCGCCAGTTAGAGTTATCTGATCCGCCAATTACCTGACCGGTCAGTTAGAGTTATTCGATCCATCACTTATAAGTACCCGACCGAACAATTACAATTACTCAATCCGTTGGTTACAGGCCATTTGACCAGTTATATTCGCCCAACTCGACCAATTACTTTCCCCAAGTTTGACGATTTATAGTTACTCTAATATGATAATGATTATCGCCGACCACCACCTCCGATGACCACCACCTCCAGCGACCCCCACCTCCGCCCACCACCAGCGACCGCCATCGCCAACACCACAGCCAGCCCCCTGCCTCAACCAGCCCCTCACCCGATTCACCCTAGTCTAGGGGCAGAGGTAAGGGGGTGGGGGCAATGGGGTCCCAACACACCTCAAATTTGATTTTTTTGGTATAAACATGTATGGGTAAAACTTTATCTGATTTTTTTGTACCAGCCCCCCCCCCCCTTCGATCCTGACTACACTCCAGGCCAACCTTCGATCGTGGCTACACCCCAGCCCTTGCCACACCCAGTCCCCTCCCCAGAGTCACCCAAGCCCCTTGCCCCTCCGATACCACAATGTTCGAGACCACACAAAGACCCTCCATTGCCCCCATCGTATCCCCCAACACGACCGCTCGAGATGGCGGTGGAATCTGAGGTGGCCACGTGAAGTTGGGTGCTAGCGGAGGCGGGGAGTCGAAGATGGTGGCGGGAGTAGCGAGTCGATGCTGGGTTGCGGTGGCGGTAAACCGATGCTGAGCGGATGGATGGGAGAGATGGTTTTATCCAGAGTTGAGACGGTTGAGAGCTAGGGTTTTAGTGTTTTATTGTAGTACACATCACTAGGTTAAATTAGGGAATTCAATCAAAATGAGGCTCTTTTTTGTCTAGATTTTAGAGTGGTCACAGTTTTGTCTTTTCAAATCCTATTAGTCTTATTTTTGCATTTTTTATTAATTACGCAGTAGTATTTTATACTACCTCCGTTTGGATGAATTCCAACTTCAAATTAGGTGAGAAATAAGAAAACTAATACTCCGTATTATATGGTTAAAATTTATGTAGAGAAGAGAGAAATAAGCATTGTTGAGTTTTAATCTCGTAGATCCGAAAGCCCAACACACGCTTTGGATATTAAGGTTTATGTGAAGAGAAATATAAAAACTAATTGATTAACTCAAATAGCTCTGCTTGTATTAACACAATAATAACACTTACAAGAGAATCGATCGAACGACAATTATGACTTAGCAACTAATACAAGAGATAGAATGACTAGAGAGCTCATGAGTAAACAAAATCCAACTCCTAACACAGCAATAAACGCTGCTATATACTGGATGAGGGGCGGTGGGAGCATGAGGTGACAAGCTCTGAAGGGCTGGATGAGGGTCGGTGGGAGCATGAGGTGGCAAGCTCTGAATGGCTGCTTCTCTGTCATTGTTACCTCCATCCCTCTACTTGCCTTGCCCATGTCTCCACTTGAGGTGCCCGTATCCCAGCATTTAATGCTCCTTGCCACTTGCAGATTGCCCGTTCGGGAGTATACTACTTGACCCGTTCGGGATATTGGCTTCCCGCCAAGGGGTGGGGACGAACGTCCCCCTGTAGATTGCCTTTGTGTTATGGCTTCCTGTCAAGGGGTGGGGACGAATGTACCCCCTCTAGATTGCCTTTGTGTTATGGCTTCCTGCCAAAGTGTGGGGACGAGCGCCCCCCTGTAGATTGCTCAAGTCCCGGAAGCCGAACGTCGTGAAGCCCCCTGAACCTTCGTACCCGGTTATCCATAGGATTGGGCCCTGGGGGCCCATAGGGGACGTTCCTCTCCACAACTTGCCTTTGATGTACCTAGCATTGCCTCCAGGGCCAAGTTACAAGGTTGCTTCTTAGGTACGTACGTCGTCTGACAGAAGTACATTAGAATGTGGCTGCCTGCCTTAAGTGGTTGGTGTTCTGAGGCCGAGCATCCCCCTTGGGGAAGGACCTTGCAGCCTCCTTGGGCTATCTCGCACATATCCGCCCCAAAGTGAATGGGCTTTTGGAGACGTACGTATCCATGCATAGGGGAAAGGCCTCCCTGATTAGGGGTGGGAAAACCCGAACCGAAACCCGGAAACCGGCCCTGGCCCGGCCCGAATTATAATATCGGTCCAGGTTTTTTCTTTTTGACCGGCCCGAATAAAAAAAAAACGGACCGAACTCGAAACTTCGGGCTCTTTAACGGGCCCTAAAATCTATAACCCAGGCCGGACCGATAAAACCCGAAACAATTAGCCTTAATATAAAATTAATATAATATACCAATATAATTTATAAATTAATTCCTAATTTATGATTATAATTATGATGGACAAAAAAATGACTTAATAACTTTTAGTGACTACAAATATGTTCAATTTATTTACCATAATGACCATGAAAACATATTTATAGTAACTTTAGTTACATTTTTATCCATACATTTTATTTCATAATATTTTTAGAACACCTATATTACTTATTTTTATGCATCTTAAACAAAATATTATGATAATTGTCTGTTTTGGATTTGAATTCTTGGTGATTTTGGAGACTAATATTTGTGATTTTTATTAATTTTATTTGTGGTTTGTACTTTTTATTAATTTTTTTAAAAATAGATTTTAAAATATAAAAGAAAAATGAGTGATTTCACATTCGGGCTTTAACCGACCCAACCCGAACCCGGGCTACAAAAAACCCGACTCAGACCGATGCCTTACGGGTAATTTCCGGGTTTAGCAAAAACCCGACCCGGACCGGACCGATCCCACCCCTATCCCTGATGTCCCATATCTCTGGGGACGAACGTCCGGTGGGCTTTAATGGGTCGATGTGCCGGGTAGGCCTAAATGGGCATCGCCGATTGAGTTCCGTACTTGGGTGATGTCTTGGGCCCCTGAACAGTAACAGGCCGGGATAAGCACTCAAGGCCTGTTGTACGTGCATGCTCTCAAGGCCTGTTGGGGACGTACTGACGTGCACTTTGTCGTGGTGTGCACTCAAAATAAATATTAATACAACACTTATACGTAGTATAATGTAGTAAGGTTCGTATCCACATAGAAAGGAATACATTTCTTTTTAATTAAATACTAGTAACAAATGGGGTTTTTTGATTGTTGATGAACTTAAATGTATTTAAACACTAAGATGAACGACTTATGTGTTTTACTTAAATGAGATGAAGATTTGGTTTTGCTTTTATCCACTTAATGAAATGTTCGTCGATCCCGGTTATATCTTTAACTATCTTCCACTCGAATACTCAATCGAGGAGTATATCCAATTCATCGAGCGTAGTTATTAACAACGAGACACGTTCATTAATAAAACTTACTACCGAGTCAATATAGAACATGCGCCATATATTAACCCGATAGTAGCAATAAACTTAATATGAAAATGATTGAGATTGATAACCTCAACACAAGCGGTTTATTAGTTTAATCAATATAATTAATTGCCCTTAGACTATTAACCATGAGACGCATGCATTAATAATCCAAGTCTACTACCGTTGAAAGAACTGAATTAATAACAAGCGCATTAATCGATTGATTCTAGTAATAATTAATATATGAAACAAAACTAGTTGATCCTTTAAGTAATGTTCAAAATATTAATATGAAATGTGAATAGGAATTAATTAATATTCAAGGAAGAATATTATTAAAGGAAATGAATCCTACTATAATTAATATCAAGATGTTAACTAATTGTCATCTTAGCAACACTCCCCAATATTAATATAGAGGAAGAAAATACTACTATAATTAATGTCAAGATGTTGACTAATTGTCATCTTAGCAACACTCCCCAACGTTAATATAGAGATAGTATTAAGGAAAGAACTAATAATTAATATTCAAGGAAGAAGATTAAAGAAAATAACTCACAACTTACAATTCATTAAGCTTCAAAGTAGCAAAACCAAGATGGAAGAGTTTAGCTCCTCATTTGGAGACTAATCATGATAAAAATATAAAGAAAGAACTAATCTAGACTGAGTTTAGAAGTATAAAGGAATTGGTGATTTTATTGTGAAGAAAAGAGGTGTATTTATAGGCTTTTGGGAGCTGCAGGGTCTGATACCCGACCGGGTATATAGGATAACCGATCGGGTATCTTAGGTAATTTCCCAGAAAGACCCTTTTCTGGGTATACCCGACCGGGTATGTGACAAATCTTTTACGAAATCTTGCTCCCACGTTCATTTGTCCTCGGATTTGATTTGGACAATCAAATCAAGCAAATACCCGATCAGGTATAAGAGTATTTTATCCAAATCAAAATCTTTCTTGCCTCCTTGCACTTTCCTTGATCTTTTGAGGTTCAATCTTGATCCTTTGGATGATCTTTGACCTGTTTAGCTTAGAAAAGTCCTAATCTAAACAATTTACAAATATATATGAAAATAAAGTACTACACCAAAAGTGTGTAATTACAAACATACAATCGGAAATTAGAACTAATAAAAACTAGTTAAAAATACAAACATACAATCGGAAATTACATGAATATCAACTCCCCCACACTTAGCTTCTTTACTCATCCTCGAGTAAAGTCAAATGTTTAACAGTTCCAAGTCCTCAAAAGTTCAACAATTAACCAGAAAAAGTAAAAGACCATCGAGGATAACATATGAGTTTTACATTGAGTGTTTAGCTCAAAAAAACAATATCTTCTTGGGTTTCATGGTCTTCTATGCTCATCTCATCTTTTCATCTTCAAGAGATTAAATGATGTCATGTAAAAACAAATATATCTCTCATATTTCTCATTTTGCCTAGGAGCCTTTTCAGGTTTTCATCCTAGTATCTCTTTTTATTTTTCCACCTTTCCACTCACTCATCATTTTTTGTAAGCCCTTTTTGCTTAGATTGCCCATTTTTGGGTTTTCAACCTAACTAGCATTTCTTTGTGTTTTTTTTTAATTTCTTTTTTTGTGTGAAGAAAATAATGCTAGTTTACAAGGTATCAAACTTAAGTACATACCAATGAGTGACTCCCTCTCACTTAGCTCGAAGCACTGTCCTTAGTGCTCCTCTTTGTCGATCATAACTGGGCTGAAACGGTCATCCTCGTAGCTTTGAATTGGGGCCCCTATCAGTTGAGCTTTCTCCCCTATCTCTCTTCGATGTCATTTATTTCCTTTTGGAAGCTTTGAAATTCGGATTTGGGGGTAGGGGGGAGGGTGTCATTTTTTTTTGGTAAATATATGGGGAGATGGAGATTTTTTTGGTGTTTTATTGTCTTGTAGAGGAGAGTGAGTGGAGTGTTTTGGTTGTGGTATGAGGGGATTTGGTGGAGTTTCGAGTGAGTAATGCGAGAAAGAAACTTCGAAATTGGAGGTTGGTGGGGGGGGGGGGGGGAGGAGATCGAAAAGGTTTTGGGGAAGATGAAATGGGTGTTTTGGGTGGCTGATTCGGGTTTAAAGATCGTGTACCCGACCAGGTAACCCAACATACCCGATCGGGTATGCCTTCATTTGTTCTTGTTCCGGGATCGGGCTCGATCGAGTAGGGATGATACTCGATCAAATCTTCTTCGCCACAGGATTGCTCGTAAATATACCTTTCCGGGCATATTAATGTGCCCGATCGGGTATCACGTCGGATTTTCAAAAATGGCTCCAGGGTTGTGTACCCGGTCGAGTATGGGGTGTACTCGACCGGATTTTCTTCGCCGTAGAATTTCTTAAAATATACTCGACCGGGTAAATTAATATACTCGATCGGGTATCCGTTTATATTTTATTTCCTACCCCAATCGATTATAGAGTACTCGATCCAAATCTGGCGTTTCTCTGATATACCCGACTGGGTGGGGTGTTGTTACCCGATCGGGTACTTCATCCTGGAGCTTGATTTCGTTCATTTTTTTGGGCATGGATCCGACCGGGTAAGTGATTATGCCTGATCGGAGGTTTCCCCAAGCTTTCAAAACTCGTTTTTTTCTCCCTCTTTCTTTGGAGATTTGTTTTCCATTCTCTCAAAGTTGACATTCAAAAATAAAAACAA